AGGAAACCTGTGACCTTGACCTTCAGCTCCCAGCTGTCCCAGAGTCCTGGCTGCCTGGACCCGGGCCTCAGCGGTGTCTGTTCTGCTGCCTCCGGATGGCCCTGGACAGTGCACAGGATGCTGGGTCCTCGGGCCTGGACATGGTCAGCGTGACACTGGGACCCAGCAACACTGCGTCCCCCTGCCAGCAGCCCAAGCTCCCAGGCCACTCTAGGCACAGCCCTGGTCCGGCATGCAGCAGGTGCTCAATGCCTGCTGAACGACAACAGGGCTATGAAGGGAGCTCTCCCCGCACCCCTGCCCTGACTGTCCTCCTCAGACTGCCCCACCCCACTCTGGAAGATCCCCTGGGAAGACACTGTCAGGCCTGGATTCAAATGTCCCCTCTGTCCTAGCAGGTGACTTGAGGCTACTCCTGACCCTCTGAGAGCAATGTCACCCAGCAAAATCCCAAGGGAGCCACGGGTGTCACCTGAAGATTTTCTGGAAGTCACACTGAGAGCTGGGGAAACAGCAGGTGAACTTAACTGGATCACATTTTATCTGGCAGCATATTAAATGCTCTCACCCCGACCCACGGTCACATGGGATCAACGCTGCCGTGGTGCGAGCTGTCGGCGTGTGTGTCTCCAGCACCCACAACGGCTGGCCCACGGCTTGCACCAAGTACCAGCGCCCCTCCGTCAGAGAGGCTGGGGGCCACCTGAGGAGATGGCAGCCTGTCCTTCCTGGAGATAGTGCCCTGGTCTGCAAAGTCCCCGCAGGGTCGTCAGAGAATGCGTCCCAGAGCCAGCCCTCTCTAGCCCGGGGCCTCTCGCGTCTCAGTCACTCCAAGATGTGTCCATCTGCCGTGTTGCCCAGTGCCCGAGGCCTTCCCTGAGCCTGGCTGCTGTGGCCCTGGGAAGCCTCCCGAGTGGAGTCACCCCAGAGCCAGCAGGAGTGGAAGAGCTGCACCCGGCCCGAGGCCGCTCACGTGAGCCCGGATTAGGGCGGCCCTATGCCTGGTCATGTCTGAGGCCGGCACATGACGGGCAGGACTCCCTGTTCCCTGGCAGCGGTGAAGCTGGGGGCTGCACGCAGTCAGGGCCAGGCCTGGGCTCATGGGTCCTGGGGGCTCAGCTCAGAGGGGCTGGAGGGCTTGGGGGACCTCCTCGGGCCGGGTGCTCAGCGCTGCCCTGCCCCCTCCTCCAGCCCCAGGCCTCCCAGTG